AGGGTGTCAATCGCCAGTCTCATGCTCTGAAGGTTGCCCAGCTGGCTGGTTTGCCCAAAGAGACGCTCGAGCTGGCTACGCGTGTCCGCCAGAAAATGAGGGATGAAATTCCAACACCTCGAGTTGTTGATGAAGATCAACTCTAGCCTTGGGTGCTTGAGGGTAAAATGAGGTTTGTTAATACGTACTTGGAGGTACTCACTATGTATGATATTTATGTACAATATTTCGGCTTATCCTGTTAAAGATACCGCCAAATCACAAAGCAAGGTTGGCAAATCCCTTCCTCGTCACTTTTTCCAATGCCAACTATCGGACTCTTCAGGTCAAACCAAGAATCCAACACCTGCAAGTGTTTCATAGACATGCATTTATAGATCAGAGCTTAGCCGACCACAGTCTCGGGCCCTTCTCAGCCCGACCCAATTGTCCCTTCCGACCAAGATCAACAACAACACCTTCCCCAAACGCAGCTTCCTGACAATCCTCATCCGCAACCCCATTAACAAACTGCACAACAATAAAATCAACCCTCCGAGGACCTAAAACCACCATAGGCGCATGCCACGTTCCGACACCATAAGTAACAGCCTGACCACCACGCGCGATAAACGCCTTAACATTATTCAGATCAGGCGGATCACGAATAGTAATCGTCTCACCGGCCTCATTCTTCGCGGTAGCAGTGCTCCCCTTCAAAGTGGGGGCAACAACGACCAAAAACAGCGGTTCTTCCTCACCGTCCCCGACCTTGGAATGGGCCGATAGATCGACCGGAATGAAAGTCTGATTTGTAAACGGGTGGCGCTCAAGGATACGCACGTCAAAGACCTCCTTGTCAGGCAGTTGCGGGCCAGTACTGACAGTGCGTAAATTGCGTGGGAAACAGCAAAACATGGTCATGCGTGCCTCGGAGGGTTGGCCGCTTGGACAGGCATTGGTGTAGTGGTCGAGGAGCGGGGAGATGGGACTGTACTTGAGAGCGGAGTTTTGGTTCGCCAGGACCGGGGTTGGATCGTGTGGCGGTAGGGATGATAGTTGAGGGGCGATATTTAGTTGTCGTGGTAACGGGGAGACCACTGCTGTACCAAATTGTGCGAACTTTTCCGGTGTAAGAGGCTCTGGAGTGAGTGTGAGTGTCGGGTTGGTTGAGAGGATCGGCGCCATTGTGATGTTTTAGGTGTAGGTGTGCGTGGATGGATGTGTTGTTCAATTACTTGGATTCCGCCACCTAGCATGCAGGTCTCCAGCTCTATTGGAGAGGAAGAGAAAAGAAAACCAAGAGAAATTGGATTGGATGTTGTTTATGAAGCTAATGCGGAGATATCCCGAGGTCGGGAGGTCGGCGTGTGCCGGTGATAAGATAAGCGGGGACCGGCGAAGTATAGGATTTCCAATCAATATATTCCTGTTTATTACAACGTAGAGAACATTACTTAGGAAATAATATAAAGGGCTGCTTCTAATTTTTATTTTTTTTCTTTTTAATTTGATGCTCATATCAAGTGGCTCTTTAGGGTATGTCACTATGTACTACTTAGCTTGTCCAAGCGCGATGAAATACCCCAATTTCTGACGACAAAATTAAAATTGGCCCCTGCACAAAAATTGGAATTGTTTCAAATTAGAATTCTAATAAATATTAAAGTCCGTGCTGAGAATGTCTTAGTATTTGTGCAATACCGTGATCAGAGAGATATAACCTTGAGATGTAACTAAATGCGGGGATCAGTTTCCTTCACCTTTGATATCTATACATTTAACCATTAATAAGTAATATTGACATTGATAGACCCTTTAATCTGTCAAGGTCGGTATGGGAAGCCTAAATGCAATGTACAATGTACTCTGCAGCCCTGGAGGCCGGTTGACATGGGTAGATCTTATAATATCCAAATATAAAAAGACAAGATCTTTACATATATGGTTCGCATGCTAACCAGAAGGCAACTGCGTTTTGCATTTATGATTTGGCCATGTTTGCTTTTTGAATGAGGCTCCAACAACTACAAAATAATATACTAGGCCGATACAATCTGCACATACCTAACCGCTGGCCAATGAGTCACGTATTCAATCCCTCACTGACACGCGCGAGATGACAGCGGCAATAGTCATTGGTCTATTGGGTCCGTTTCTCCGGAACTGATACCTAATCCAGTGATTGCAATATAGAATTGGATGAAGTTCACACACCGGTGTTTGAGAAGTCGGTATTCCTGTTGTCTTTAAGGTAGGGGATTCTGAGATATAAAGCAACTATACTTTCCTCTTCTGATATTCGAGCCTACTCTTGCTTAAACCCTGCTTGGAATACTGCGAGCACCTCCCAAGTATCAAAATCAAATTCCCGTCAAATATATCAATCGCAATGAATTCTTCAAGTCAATCTTCCCCCAACCAAACCACTACAAGCACCACGGCCACTTCAAATACTGCAGTTGCAAGCTCCTCCACTTCAACAGGCTCTAGCTATAATTACACAGAGCAGGCATTGAGGTAAGCCAATAAGGGTTATTCCCTTCATTTTATAATTTGGAATAATCAGCCGACAAAAAATCACTTAAAATAGTGCTGAAGAACAATTCCAACGAAACACCGAACACATGGGCGGTTGGATCAAATCATCCGACCTCAAGCACCCAGATGGATTCTCAGTGAATACATGTAGTTAGAGGATGACCAACCGAGTTTAACCATTCACTCCACGGTCACATCAACAATATGGCTATTTTCCGGGTCCGAGAATTATGCAGGAAATGATGAGCTGGTTCATGTGTGAAGGATGCATTGGATGGACCTCATCCGAAGTCCGAGCACACCCGAGATTGACAGTTTTGTTTTGTCGATACCTGTTGGAATGACGCATTAATGCATATATACTTGATGATGGAGACCCTAGCGGGGGTCTACGGAACTTGAACGATACGAACATACTTGATTTTCTTTCTTTTTCCTTTTTTTCTTTTCTTTTTCTTTTTTCTCTTTGATTTTGAGGGGAAAACATGTGATAAGAAGAGGGGAAGAGATGACTAGGGTATGCAGCCAGTACTCACCTTGCATGCCATAAAAATGGCAGATGGCAACATTTCCGGAGATCCGAGATGAATTTGATGTTTTAGCCGACATGTTCTTTGTGTACAGAGTACTTACATGCCCTTCCCCTCTTTTCTTCTTATCTCGGACATTTGGCCTCCGTGTTATTTTTATATTAGCCCTCTGCTGGTGCGGGTCACCTAATTTGATTTGGAATTGTATCTTCAAAACGTACATATAGATGTAACATCAAGTCGCACCCTTGATGCAGCCGTGCCCAAACTAGGAAAATGGGTACACGCAAGCTGGTTTAGATTTTAGCATACCGGAAATAGATACAACAATGACATGACCAAGAACTGCTAGTTAACTTCCCAGTCCCGAGGCCTCTGTGGTAGGGCTGAGACGATGGCCCTAGCACGTATGAAGCTCTATCTCCGGGACCACTTTACGTGTAAAGTATTCTCATTTCCATCCAATTCTAAGTAATTATGCGGCTCAGAGAGCTCGTATCATAACTTACATGGCTTCATGACACATAAAAGTTATTGCGTATTTGTGGCTTTTAACAAACTTGGAGTTGGGATAATGCTCAACGGCAATTAATCTATATAAAATAATGTGGAAAGACAACACGTGGATACAAGGATTATAATATTCAGAACTTGAACATGCTAGACAATTGGTTCCACTGGGTTGGGTTTACAGGGGAGATAGGGGCGTACTGGTAGATGATAGATTAACGCGATGAATAAATTAAATTGTTGGGCCTATATGCCCGAGAAGAAAAGAGATAGGATTGATTTATCTACTGGCTGTCTTATATAGTACGTATCTCGTGATGTCCGTTCGGTGTTGTCCAAACCATGCCACAACTATGGGACGGGAGACCTGTTAATGATCCTTAGCCAGACATTTACTATTACACTGTAATGTAGGTTATTCTTAATAATGGTGGAGATGTATTTATTCGCCTGACTGCAGTGGCTGGTAGTGTGAATCAAGTGGCTAGTACATATACAAGCCCTAGATATACTATGTCACACTCCAGCAAGAAGATGGGTGTTAGGAAATGGGCCAGCCATTAGCCCTAAAATCCGTGCTCTAATCACCAATTGTAATCTCCCACATGTTATTTTCTGGTATAGTCGTCCTATCTAGAATAATTTATTTATTTCGTGTATCTCAAATCAATCAAGCATTCTATTTCGCCTTCATACCTCATCTTCGGGTCAGAAGCTTGGATCAGGTGGCCCTGTCCCCCGAGATGGAGAAGGCAAGCATGAGGGACCAAACAAGAACGGAGCCAACTCATGCCTCCGCCACTCATCTACTCTTTCTAAATGAAACGTGAAGATGTCATAGATCAAGATATAAGAAAATACAAACCAGAGCACAAGGCAACATGTTTGTGATTAACCTACTAATCAAATACCCTGCAAAGGCCACGACATCGGGTGGTAATGAGTCAGATTCTAAAGGCGCTAGCTGCGAGGCATTCTTAGTTCATACAACTTTCTAGAAGATGGGCGAGAGACATGACTTGAAGTTCATTACTCATCTCTTCTTGATGGCCCTCCATCCACTAAAACCAACCGGGCTCCTGATATTAAAGCCAACTTGCATCTCCAGCTTCTGGGTTCTTGTAGTTCGGGGACACATGGGCCCTTCCACATGAGCATTGACATAGAATGCGCAAGTTCGCATGCCATTCCTCCATGTTAGCACACATTAGTGTTCCACGAGTCATGGGTCTTCATCTGAGTGTGTGGTATTGAGTGTTTCTGTCAAGGGATTGGGGTAGACCGGAGACGTAGGACTGTATGAAGAGTAAATATCGGCCTAACGTGTCCTAGGCACATCCCACAGACAAATGATTTGCTAGGAGTCTCCAGACTGAAAGTAATCCTATCAAAACCAGAGTGTTCGCTCTGCCAATAGACAATACCGAAACATGGTGACCGCTATTTTGATGGCAGAATCTCGGAATTTGGTAGCGAAGTGGGTAGATTCTGTGCGGCGCGCTTCACATCAGTGCCAAAAGGGTTGCCATCAATTGAACATCGGCCATAATAAGTGGATGTCAATTTCCAACCGTTGACCATGGTGTTGATGGAAATCGGACTGAGCCTTCCAAAGGAGACGGTGAAAAGGGGAGCATGACGCCGAGATGGAAGTGTGGAAGGTATACCAGCCGAGTAAGATATCTTCATTTCGTTTAGTGTGCGAAGGATAAGACCGACGTATACTGCGCCGCACTCGGGTTGGCAGGAGGAATGCCCGTATGGGCCAGTAGACGGGGTCATTAGCAGATCTTGAATCCGTGCTGCAATGTTTACTTGGAGTAAGTCCATGTATTCCTGTCTCGCCTTATCGATTTTGTCTAGAACCACATAGTTAGCTATTTGCTACATGGATCTCAAAATCGGTTAAGTGTTCTATTTTGCCAACATACCTTTGATGCTATTTGGGATCGGTAAATTGCTTGTCTTAAAGGAACCTTTTCCTTGCTGCATGGCGATTTTTTCGGTCTGTTGAAGAATATCTTTGGAGTTGAAAACCCAGGCGATCATCATCCACTTTTTTGTATCTTCTGAGAACGAAGTTGAAAAAAGCGGCTTAAGGGCTTTTATCCATTTCCCAGCAGCCATCCCGACAACCTCGTGACATTGGAAAAAGTCTGTAGTCACTGAGATATCAGCCAGCTGCTGTAGGGATATTTTTTTGGGGGATTTGTCGTAGACGTCCATGCATGAGGTTCAAGACAATGAGAAGGATATCGGGTTCACAGTCGTTGACGGGTATGTCAGCAAACCCCTACGTTGAAAGAGCATTCCCTTCGGCCCAACCATTTTTTAGCATCCGCTTGAAATAATCTGACGCAAGTGCTAGGTGCTTCGACGAGACTTGAAAGCGAGCATAGTTTCCAGGCATCTTGCGTTTCCTGGGGTTGATCAGGGGAGCATCCGGGGTGAAGAGAATGATATCTCCATCTGGGTCAATTTGTGTGAGGGGTTGTGGGGGTGGTGGGGTGGGTGTGGGTGGTTTGGTTGGGTAGTAGTATTGGTTTCGCTTGTGTGTGTGTTGTGGTGGGTGGGGGGTGGTGGTGGGTTGCATGTCGAAATCTACGAATTCAGACGATTTTGCATCTATAATCCTGGTTTAAAGATATGTCTGAAGTCGTGGGTTTGGACGCCAAAAAATTAAAGCCAGTGATGTTCTTGTTCTGCACGGTGTACAGCTCTGGTATTGAGATACTGAACTTGACGGACTTTCAGAAGAGAGAATGAAGAGCAAGTGAAAATGAAATTAGGATTTATGTGTCTCGGAGATGGTGTGAATAAACCGAAGATGCCCTGTGGGTGGTCCCCTTGTGGGGGTTTAGGGGCACAATTTCACGTTTTTATTAATTCACCTGCCTCTTCCTGTTATTCTCGGTGGATATACTAGACCTAGACTATAATAGACTTTTATATCGATACCGGATGAGAGGGAGTAATGAAGATAATGTGAGATAAATGTAAAAAAAGATAGGTTAAACAAGAAAGGAGCCAATTAACGTGTTACGTCTTCTGCTCATCCATAGTACATAGTATATTTTGAATTCACCTTTCTCTGAATTCATCTTTCTCCAAATTGGGTGTTATTTCCATATTGTTTCTCTCAGGTAGAGACAGTGACATGTGTAGCACTTTAGGTTATATGAGAGGAAGGCCGCTATACATAGAGCTGTTTGCTCATGTGGGTTAGCTCTTGCTATTTAACCCCTAGGGATCTATCACTGTGTCTCTTCTCTTCTCTCCATCTTTGATATTTTAGTTGGATTATTATCTATAGTACAACTTATCATGTATCATAAGATGTATGCAAACTATGGTCTTAGATTTGTCTACAACCCCATCATCCCCGATACACGTGTTTTCTATAAAGTAGGCTAGCAGATAGCTCAAAGGTGTGTATTGATGACCTGGTGGGAGATAGTGAAATCCATCCATATATACCCACATCAGCTATGGTATACTTGGAAAATGCAAACAAGTCCAGGGAGCTCGTAGTAATAGCACCATTGTGATGGTGATGACATTTCAAGTTCCAAAGTGAAGGGTAGCAGTAATCAATATACTGATTCAGCAATACTCTCCAAAAGACAACATAGTATCTCTAGGTCACATATTGTTCTGCTCTTCAGCGGCGCGTACATCATCATCATGGTGTATTGGGCAGCGATTGGAGTCACAGCGGTTGCTCAAAGAGGTCTCAATTGAAACAGAGCGGAGTGTTTCGACCAGTTTGGCTCGCAGCTATGACTCCCGCTAATAGAAAGCCAGAGGATATCGATATCCCTGACATCTGCAGGTGACAGAGAACTGATTCCCTCAGCAACGAAAATTTAAAGATGTCGTAGAAAGCTGAAATCAAGTAGCACTCTCTCCTTTTGCATCAAACCGTGCTTTCTTCGCTCGTCGTTTGATTTCTCGCTTGGACAAAGGCTTGTCAGCGTCCTCGGTAACAGGCTCGGAACTGATAGAAGCTTTCCTCTTGAGATTGTCCGCTCCATTATCTGGCTGCGCGGGCTCTTGAGGTTTTGGCGCATTCTTTTGCTTTGCCGCAGGTACTTCAGGTTTAGCTTTTTCCCCACCGTGGACGATATCCACGATGCCTCGCCAACTAGTTCGCTTCAACTTGGCCAAAGCGGTGACCTTCCGCGACTCTTCGCAGACTGCTTCCTTTCCACGCTCTTGTGATAGACCCCAGACACAGGCAAGATTAATCACGTCCCACGGGGCTCGTAGACTCAATGCTCTTCTTGCTTCACTGGACACGATAATGCCGCGACCGCGTGTTGCGCGGATCAAGGATGTTGCATTCCCAATGAGGTTTCTTCGGGCATCAAGTCCGCTACCCGTGATACCAGGCCCATAGCAGATCTCGATACGAATTCCACGTGAGATTGCCGCGGACAGCATTTTGAATTTGAAGTGGTATGGAAGTCGCACCGAGAGATCCACGGAGATCACGTCGCATTCCAAGTTGGTGCATGCATTTAGAAGTGACTTTTCATTTGTGGGACGGAGAGCAACGATGTCGTACGCTTGACTTAGGGCGGTTAGGCGCTGATTCTGCGCGGGGTCCGCCAAAGTCAGGTTCAACCGGGTCAGCAGTTGGAGGGATTTCGGCGGGTTTGTTGGAAGAGGAGGTGGAGCGATGGTTGATGGAAGCTTCCCGTTGATCGTTTGAGACAGGGCAACGGTAGTGTAACCAACTAAAAAGTCAGGTCAGTCTCTCATGTGCTCTAAACTGCGAATCTTGTGCCGTGGAGCGGAATGAATGACTTACGTTCGGCGAGGAAATTGAGAGTGTGGGGCACCTCCGGGTCATCGGGGCTGTAAGGTACATTCAGGTCGTAAAACATGATGGATTTAAAAGAAGGCCAGCCCTGCTTGTGGGAATTATTGCTTCAACTTCTCAAGCCTCTTGGTCACATCGAACTGTCCCAAAAAGGCAATCAGAAAATCGAACGGATTAACAAAGGATCCGTACTTTTACACTAACTGCTTTAGGTTGGGTCCCCACAAAACTCTCTGATCCCGTGACCTCAGGCGGAACGGATCTCATTCTACTGATCATATCACGACAATATCCCACTCTGTCCATCCCATTGCTCAAGGCTTGCTGTGAGCACTGCGTTTGGGCTGATTAGTCGCTAGGCCTGCTGCTACCTGTCTCCTACGTCAAGCTAACCCCCGGCCTCTCGCTCCGTCACACGACTGCGCCCCTCGTGACCCCGCCGCACATCTCTCAATTGTGGGCGCACTCGGAAACCACCTGTCATCGTCAAGATGTCGCGTGTCTATGCCGATGTCAACGATCGTATGCCTCGGTCCTACTGGGATTATGACAGTGTCAACATCTCTTGGGGTGTCCTTGAAAATTATGAAATCGTTCGCAAGATAGGTGAGAAATGATCAAATCCTGTCCATCTACAGCATGCTGGAGACGGTTGCTGCCAGCTGTGAACTGCGGGTGAATTTAAGAACAATCTTTCTCACTATATCCACTTCAGGTCGGGGAAAGTACTCGGAGGTTTTCGAAGGCATCAACGTCGTCAACTACCAGAAATGCGTTATCAAGGTTCTCAAGCCAGTCAAGAAGAAGAAGATCAAGCGTGAGATCAAGATTCTGCAGAATCTCGCTGGTGGGCCCAATGTTGTGGCATTGCTGGATGTTGTTCGCGACAACCAGAGCAAGACTCCTAGTCTAGTCTTCGAGGCTATCAACAACACCGACTTCCGCACACTGTACCCCCGCTTCACCGATTACGATGTTCGTTTCTACGTTTTCGAGCTGCTCAAGGCCCTCGACTTCTGCCACAGCAAGGGTATCATGCATCGGGATGTGAAGCCCCACAATGTCATGATTGATCATGAGAAGCGCAAGGTTAGTAGGATTATCAATTAGTGGTGAATCATCACAGTTCTAACATTTTATAGCTTCGTCTGATTGATTGGGGTCTGGCTGAGTTCTACCACAAGGGCACGGAATACAACGTCCGCGTTGCGTCTCGCTACTTCAAGGGCCCCGAGCTGCTAGTTGATTTCCAGGAATACGACTATTCTTTGGATATGTGGTCCCTGGGTGCTATGTTCGCATCCATGATCTTCCGTAAGGAGCCTTTCTTCCACGGAGGCAGCAACACGGATCAGTTGGTCAAGATCGCCAAGGTCCTTGGTACTGAGGAGCTCTTTGAGTACTTGGACAAGTACGATATCGAGCTGGACCCGCAATACGACGACATTCTCTCTCGTTTCGCTCGGAAGCCGTGGCACTCGTTTGTCAACGCCGAGAACCAGCGTTTCATCAGTGACGAGGCTATTGATTTCCTTGACAAGCTTCTGCGCTACGACCATGCTGTAAGTTGTTATAACATCGCGATAAGTTGGCCATACTGACTTATCTCAACAGGACCGCCTGACTGCTCAGGAGGCCATGGCACATGCATACTTCAACCCTGTGCGTGCCGATGCAGCGGCCCTTAGCCACAACAATGTTACACGGCCATGAATTCCTCTCGCATAAACTGTTGATGGTCATGGCTCTGATCTCCTTATCGTGATGCCTGGCTTCCAAGTTCTCCGCATGCTGCCATCAAGATTGTGTCAGGCATCACGACAATTACGTACCTTTTGCATTTGAAATTTGCCGGTATGAACGGTAGAACGATGATCGAAACATGAAACGAGCTTGGTCTTCGTACTCCCTGTTCCCCTTTTCACTGGCCCTTCGAATTATGGGCTGCGGCAAACAATCAAATCCTGAATGAAGACGACTTTGATGACAAGACATCATGACATTTAATTTGCTGGGTCTCTCCAACCCTCTCATCGCCTAGGTCGTTTGGCGTGTCAATGAGCGTGATGAACCAACGTCTTAGATGAGGAAATCACTCTCCTCTTTCATCTTTTCCTATTTGTATAGCGCTGGTCGTGGGTTTCCCTAATTGATTTCTCCCTTGTTAGTTGAATTGGTGTTATGGCCTTTCCGCTGGGTGCTTCGTGTTTCAAGGGATTTTTCTCAGACAACCCATTGCATTTTCTTAACGCTTCCTTTTATTATGAATGAAACATTGGACGAGATGAAAGAAACCCTAGAATTGTTATACATCGTAGGATTGTTCTACTATAAGGCGTACACATGTCTCAACCGATACTCCATATGGTAATATGATATACCAGACTCGAGATTAGTCCAA